TACTCACAGAGTTCTACATCTTCTCATGACTGAGATGATTACTGAGTGGCGTGTCGTGAGCCTCATACAGTAGAAGATGCCGTATTTTAAATCCTCATCATGAGGAACCTCAATTCGTGGTATATCCGTTGGACTGGGGCTATTTTATAGCAAGCCGTCATTCAACGAATACCGGTGCAATCGTGCACGCTGTCTTGGTGACAATTTCTTGTCCGAGCCTATAAATTGCTACCGAGAGCCCGTAGTAGCGCTACACACATCCCATCACCCGCATTCGCGGTGCGGATCAAATCCGTTACAGACGACGTTACAGTTGTAACATGAGCAAGCCCATAGTCTGGTCTGCGTGACAATGCGCAGCCAAAGCATTCTGCTTTCCCGACTTATACTTCACCTCGAAGTCATATTCCGCAAAGCAGGATAGCCATCTAGCCATCCTCTGTGAGAGGTGATGTGACTGAGTCGCAGTGCGTAGTGACGCATGATCTGTTTAGATCACAAACGGCTTGGGGCCGAGCAGGTGGACCCTGAACATGACAAGTACATACTTCATCGTAAGTAGCTCCTTGTCATGAAATCGGTAGTTCTTCTCTGCAGCTTTGAGCTGTCGATATTCGAACGCGATTACCCGATCTAGCCCCTCGTGTCTGCTTGCAGCAGTGCACAGCCGATGGCAAAGTCCTAAGCGTCACAGAAGACGCAGAAAGGACGATCAGGGTCTGGCAGCGCCTGTATTGGTGCATACAGGAGGCTTTCTTTGACCCCATCAAAAGCCTCCTGATTTTTGGTTTCCAACACCTTTCCGCAACCTTTTAAAGGAGATTGGATGATCACCGGGTCACTTCTGCGTAATTAACGCTGTACTTGTGCGAGTAGTTGGCGAGATCAAGCCACTTAAGCAATTCCTTCTGGTTCTTTGGAACTGGCCAGTCTATTGACCTTGGCGGGATCCGCTCGAAGACCACGCTTCCCATTGAAGCACCCGAAGAAGGGAAAATCTTCTGACCAAAGATGCACTTGTCTGCATTTGCGTACAGTTTGTTCGTACGCATGCTCTTGAGTACAGCTCTTAAATAAACAATGTGGTTCTCCTCACCAGTCCTCTGTGCTCCCCACGACTGTCTACGAAAATAACGTCAGAGTATGTCTGTGCATACGCCCAGTGGGGCCTAAACAACTGCGTCACAAGACGGTTAGATGTTGCTGGTGCATTTGACAGCCCTTAGGGCATGACCAGCTACTCTCAGAGCATCCGGTCGGAGTGCTCACCGCTTTTAGCGGAATATAAGTCGCTCTCATGAGCAATTAAAATATCCACCTACCAAGTGGAGTGTGTACTTCGTACATCCCACCGTGTTGTTCTGAATAACATCCTTTCTAGGATTCGCCGTCTGTGCTGGAATGGTGACAGCGTTGAGCTTATTGTAAGCATGAACAATACGTCACTTGCCGTTCAGCTTCCGAACACAAAACGTGGGTGTCAGAAATGCTCTCTCGTACCATCCCTGCAACATTTTTCGCACGGAAAAATGCGTCAATGACGTCTCACTGATCCTTGGACAGGGGCCATTGGCGTGTTACGTAGTATTTGGTTCGCGGAACTAGGTCGATCTCATGACGCATACCTTGATCCGGAGGTAGGACTGAAGGCGGGTCTTTGGAGACGAAGTCTTGAAATTCCTTTAGCAAAGGATAAAACGGATCCAAGTGATTCCGCAGGGTTGACGATCTACATCGTGTTAAGCACTCTCTTGGACTCTTCCAAGACAGCTTCATCCAGAAGCGATGGCGAGTTTATCTCCTCGTCCGGTCATACAATGACCACTTCGGACAAATCGCCTGTCTTCAAGGCACTGCCGAACTCTCCAAGGGACATCTCGTCCAGCACAAGAAGATCATCCACTGCAGGCATAGCCTCGAGGCGGATGTCGCCATCTTCTTCCCCCGTCATACCGTTGACGAGGGTATACATCTGAGCGCCATCGTCTACGGTAGACATAACCTGGGTCAGGGTCAACGCCCGGCGTCTTGCAGCCAGCTTACGGCGTCGCCGTCGCCTCTGTACAGAGATTCTATGTCTCGGTGAGATCAGGATGAACACGCACTCCGCGTCATCTGGTGTCACTCCCACTGTTCGCTCATTCAGAGCTCCGATGTTATCCACAACATCCAACAAAGAGCTGCTAACCCCGCAATCTTCGTCCAGTGGAGAACGTGCCACTCCACGCGCATCTGAAGGACCTTGCCCAAGATGACTCGGACTGTGTCCAACCACGCCATCTATGGCATGCAGCGACTGCTTCGCAACGAGAGCAGTGCTCATTGGTTTACATGCCACTTCACGTGCATCATGGGGGATGCGCCCTCGATGCCTCCACCCTTGACCGACCATGTCACGCATGACATGCAGCGACCGCTCCGAAACTTGAGCAGCGCTCAGTGGTTTACGTGCCACTCCACGATCAGCCCGCAAGCCACGCTCGAGATCACTGTCCGATACACCGTTGGTGTCTACCAACTCAAATTTCCAATGTCCAGCACGTTGACCGTCTTGGTCCAGTGCTCTCGCAAATAGCGCTTATGTCTCCTAGCACAAGTGGGTTCATAACTCGCCAAAGCTCCACCAGGAGACGTGCACGTAGCGCCTAAGGTCTTTGACCTTCAATCAATCCATGGCTCATGGTGTTCCAACCATGCCATTCCTAGGATGAGTTCATACCTTGCATCCAAATCTAAGCCTAGACACCATTTCACGCTATCAAAGCCAAGGAGCTTGACTCCGAGATCCACAGGGACCTTCGGGGCTGTGACACGCGTCCCCGTCGCTAGGCGAACTTTGACGATGTCACCCAACCGCGCTTTCAGCGCCTCACCATACAGCTGACTTCCTTAAATCGTATAGCGTCGAGCATAATTGCCCGCCGCCGCGAAATCGATGAGGATCTTCCATGGCTTCTCGGAGCCCTTTACGGTCACCTCTAACGACCAGCAAGCCCAGCTTGCATACACGTTCCGTGTTCAAGAGCACGGAGCTCTTTAGGGCTGGCCCTGCTGAACTCTACCTCCCTGAAGCTCAACAGAACTCAATTCTTCCCCAGTAGGTCGCCCCGCGCTTATTGAGTAGTGTCGTTTCCTCGCGACGAACCGAATTGGTAGGGATTAAGGTCATGGTTTGAAGAACCTTAACGCGCCTTGCGCAGGAAGCAACCGTTCTTAAGGTGACGAATTTCTTCACAGACAAATCAGCGTCATGTGTTTGCGTGCTGCCCGGCAGCTCGGATCTCTGCTGCCTCGTCCTCAGCATTTCTGAGATCCATGGGCAAAGGCCAGTTCGACGAGATGTTGGAGTGTGCATTCCAACCAATTCATGCCGACTTAAAATTGAATACGGCATTTAATGCCGCATTCACCGCCTTTTCAAATGAAGATGGATGCTATTTATCCAACATCTTTTGAATCTTAATGAAATACTCGTGCAAAAGAATCTGAAGCGATTAGTGTGGCGCATTCATTTCAGACGCTAACAAGTCAAACTACGCTTAACTCGAAATGGCTAGAGTGATTGAATCATGCTCATATTATTGGCTCACGGAAGACTTCCATTTTAACCACGCCAGTGCGGAGACCTCCCATAAAGACAGTCACTGTGACCGCCTTTGGTAGGGGACCTGCTGCTATCCCGGCAATGAGAGTGCGCATCTCTTGGACAAAGTCCACTAATTCCGTGTTGCCCTGTCGGGCGGCAAGGAAACGCGATCGCACGCGATATTCCTGATTGGGCGGCGAGAACACTCGTGAGAGCTGCAATTTTAGCTTCGCCCAGGAGGGAAACGCAGCTACGACCGAAGTGCCGCACATCAGTGCCCTTTCTCGCGCTCGACCGCCGAGCTTTGAGATGGCTAGCGCCACGCGCTGTTGCTCGGTCTGGATTATGGCGGATGCGATGACCATCTCGACCTCTCTCATCCAGAGCAGGATAATCTCTCCATCCTTCCCCATAAGGACCTGAACGCTCACCATGAGCGGCTTAGAGCGAGGAAAATCATCCGTCACTGATGGTGGCGTCACTGACGGTGGTGTCACAGACGCGAATGATGCAGGCATCTTCTGCTGCAGCTGCTCAAGCAGCGCGTTTTCGTAATTTGAAACCGCCTCTAAACGCGCACCGATTGCCTCGGGGCTTTGCGCAGTAAGGTGTTGCATGCCCTCAGGGCCAAGCAAGGACATCAGCTTTTTAAGTCCGTCCTGCATGCCCTGGGGCAAAGAGTAAATTGTTCCATCCTCATAGAGGATCAGTCTTAACGACTCAGGAGTAAATTGACTACAAGTGCTACCAAGTATAGCGGGGCTGCCTTAGCTTTGCGCTTTGAGGAGGCGTAAGTTAGGTCACCGACCTTTCGTTTTATACCAAAAACAAATACGAGTTTAGCGGATCGCAAATTGCTAACTCGAAGAGTACCTATCGCCTTAACCCAAGGCTAATTAACTCTTCCGTTTAAATCCAAAACTGACTTAATTTAGTTTTATCTGCGGCAAAGCCACCTAATTCTAAATGTGTAGATTTTCTTAAAAATATATAGCAAAATCTAAATACATGCATAACTACTGCCTTCCCAGCGACATACTGTATTCGTATTTTGGTGCAGTCACACCATGCCTATCTCGTGCGAGACACACACCTGTTACCAGGGTACGTGTAACCTCGTTACAAAAAGACAAAAGTGTTAAATAGTTGACCATCAAGACCAATGCTCCTCTGGTCTGAGAGCTACTGTAGAATCTGAGTATGGTATTTGTGCTAAAGAAGAATATTAGGATAGGTGAAGTGATTGCGTAGAAGCTATTGGCGATGATTAATGTCATCAAAAATTGTTAATAACACTTGAAATTTTTACCCTGTATTAAAATCGTTTTTTCGGTTCTAATAGATTATAGAGAGAAAAAACCATAAACATGCGGGTTTTTTTGCCACCAATGATAATACAAATATTCCAGTACCACAATTACGTTAACGTATTGAATTATGCACAAACGCGTAAGAATAAAATACACAAAATTTCAGTACGCACATACCAAATGTATTACGATGTTGAATAATAAAGCTTACGTTTGACGTAAGGCTTACAGCACACAAGTTCCTTGTACCCCTAATAGGAGAAATTCCAGCGTCTCGTTAGAACCCAAGTATTGAGGTGTAATGTAAAGTGTAATGGATTAAGTATCGCATCTCGTGACAGCACTTGTATTTGGAATTTAGGCTGGATTGATTTGACAAAAATGTATATTAATGAAACAATTTTTAACAGGAATATTCATCAAGGACAAACAATTTGGAGCTACTTGGAAATAGGGATCACTTTACGAAATTAGAATTGATTTGCTGAAATAATACTATTAATATTAAAGTTTATTGTATATGTGTAAAATATTCCAAGTTCTAACACGCCTATTTTTTGGGCACATGACTATTATCGAAGGACACAAAGAAAAAGCATAATCTCTTTTGATAACAATAATTTGTTCAAAGAATAAATTTTACGACCGCGAGATTTCTACATGGAAATCTGCGCTTTGCGCTAAATTGTCGACGCCGAGGTTATTAATGATGCGAGTTTTATGAAATCTAGGAAATTAGATTTTCTTAAAGTAAGAAAACTTTACTGCTTTGGAGCAGATGAATTAAAAACTGAAGCTTTGAACTAATTTTGAACTTTGCGATTATTAATTAGGTACAGGAAGCCGGAACGACCTAGATATCATTGGTTGATGGAGTAAGAATAGTTGAAGCTGATTATCCATCTGTGCAGAAGGTACGATAGGTGCTCTAGTTGGTGCGATACCATGTATCAGTCAGGCGGTCACAACAGATCCCTTGCAGATCCCCAGTCAAATAAAATCAAGTGATTGCATCCTAGGGAAAAAAGACAGCCCGTCATGGTACAGTAAATATAAGATTTATCAGCCAAATTTGTCCGAATTTGTTTGGCTTGAAATTTCCATCATTGCATATTAATTCTATATCTCCGAAATCTAAAAAGTCCCATTAAAGTATCCTAATCAAAGGTGTGTTAATATAACAATTCATGAATCAATAAGATTTATCATACATTGGATAGGAGAAGACCACCACCTTTAGTTGACGAGGCTGGAGTCAGGATAAAAACATCCAGAGCAAAAAGAACACATAAAGAGAAGAGCATCCTGGGCAAACAGGACACAGATTATTATAATGTAATCAACTATTTGCGAAATGGATTCGCCAGCCCTTGTCGTGCGTGGCTTCACCACCAAATTTGCCGTACTTCAAGTGCAGACGACCCCTTTGTCAAACTTTCAAGAATTTGGAAATCATTTACATCTATATCTGTAAATAGTTTGAGTGTCACTAGAAACTAAGATTTCAAATTATGTTGGCTCATGGCAAGCATTTAAGGCAAAATTCGCTATCAAAGAAATGCTACTTAGTGCAGATACAATATAAATAAGCGGGTTGTACCATGCTGTCCGCATGAAGAAACAGTCTCGACAGCAATGGCAGATATTTAAAGCAAATTATAAAATCGCTCGTTTTGTAAACCTGGATATGAATGATTATATTGGTGCTGGTCCAACACGAAATTAAATCTGCATAGTATATTTTACTCTAGACAAGCACAAAGCTGATACCTTTGGAGTATGTAATGCAATTCTTGCGATCGATGTCTGTCTCAATCACGAAAACAAAAACAATCCTATCAAGATTTAAGAACAGACTTCCTTAGAAAAAAACATTCTGGGCAAACAGGACTGACGCACGTGCGCGCTCATGAAAATTTATAAGAGGCATGCTAATCCAATCCGCGTTTCCGTTCTTTTTATTTTGCACTCGTCAAATTACAAAATTTGCAGAAGTACGGGCTTGCAGCAAGTCATTTGAACTGGGTAATTGGCGTGCGTGAAAACCATTCAGGTTCTATCATGTAGTGGCTACAACATGTGTTGCTACCGAATAGAGGAGCTGAGCATTGTTTTCACCATTCTACATTTACACTCCGCACGATTTGCATCTGTCCATTAAATCTTGTCGATTTTCATAACGCTTGCTGTGCTACAGCTTCATGGTCATTTTTTGTGTCGTGATGCTGTACCAGTTATTGACTTTTTGAGCTCCTACTTATCACAGAAAAACCTATCCTTAAGAAATCTGAGAGCTAAGTCCAGAATTTGTAGGTTTTTTTAATATTAACAATGACTGAACCCTTGATGTCAAACAGCATTGTCTGCAACAATAGGTGTCAGATGTCATCCATGCTGCAAACATCACCTTTCGCGATATTCTAATTGGAAATTAAGAAGTCCTCCTTGCATAGTAGATTAAGAATAGCGCAAAGTGTTTCTATTCTATAATAAAAAAATACTTTATTTCTATTCTATATGGAAAAACTACACTCATTAACTATAGTGTCTATTCTATATGGAATAGGATACCTCTGACTGTGCGTCAGTCCTGTTTGCTCAGGATGCTTTAGTCTTGATTTTAGAATAATATCTGCTTACCATTTGATAGATCCTGATTTCGCCTGTCTGAGTCAATTTGACTGATATCTAAGAAGCCACATTCTGATGATGCTTATCTGATACTGCAGAAGCCAAGTGAGCACAAATCTTTAAAATTGGTGGTTTTCACGAGCCCAAGCTTCGGTATAGACTTTATTCATTTCAGCGAGCATGATTCCACTCTTTGGCCATGCATCATTCACGCATTTTCCGTCTCGCGCACTCTTCGTACCTCTCTCACTTATCCCACCAAACAAAACCTCTGATGCGTGTACGATCAGTCGTCCAGTTATCAACTGTAGCTATTCTGTGCTACCCTGAGCTTGTGCGCGTGATGGCGACATCAACAATTTCTGATGGACCGCATGGAAATAAACACTTGAGAACAGGCTTGCTATCATCAGACCGACATCGCCCTCTCTTCGAAGAAAGAGTGATGTCTACAGAAATCATAGAAGTGATGGATGCGATAACGCTTTTCAAGCGAATGCACCGTCTCGATCCGGAGATTGCGGTGTCAGCTAATGTCGCTAATGACATAGCTCTAGAAATAGCAAAGAAAGCTTATGCTACGGGGGAGATGCTCAAGCTCCGCCTTCTAGATATGGTTGACAGAACTCTTCTTGATCGTGCCGCCGAACGTTTTCCCAAGAATCTTGAAAAAAGTGAAGCAAACAATTTTCTCGGGAGTAAATCGTTCCGGGATTGGTTTTCTTATCTTGAGGGCCTAGTTCAACCCGAACGGAAGTCTACGCTCTCGGACTTGGTTAAAAAGCAGGTCCCGGATGTCGAGCATGTCGCGGTTAAGAATTTAGTCTCAGAACTCAGCACGTTCGTTGCTGGAAAGAAGCGCTTGGCTGACAAGGAGACCTTAATCAAGAAGGTAGTCTCCAGAATCACAGACGTGGTAAATCGCTACACCTCGTCTCAAGAATGGTTCGTATTCGGGAATAACAATGACTTAAAGCCCTTGGTGGATGGTGCGAACGTCTTTCCAGACAGCCTTATCGTGATGGATGAGATCAACAAAGCCGCTAAAGAGCTATTTCAAACGCAAGGGACAGATGTTTCGCCTGAGGATTTTCAATCGGCTGTGAAGAAAATCTTGGATGACACTTCGGTCATTGGCGAGGTCCCGAACGACGACGCCTTAGCAATGTTGGTGCCAAAGCTAAAATTAGCTGCTGAGGAGGCCAAGAATCACAAGCAAGTCTTGGACGAGAAGAAAATCATGACTGACAAGCTGGCCTTCGCAACTATAGGAAGTGTTTTGCCATTTTTAAAAGGCAATATCAGGTTGCCTGAAATCATAGTGGCTGCCGTCAAAAGGGGCGATTTGCATGCTCTGGGATCCAGGTATGAGGACATTTACCTTGATCGTCTAGTTGAACTCAGTAAGCCCACCGAGATCTGGGAGCAAATGGGACTGGTTCATTATATCACGTCTCTCGGTGTGGATCACGATGCAAAAAATGCCATCACAAAACTATTGATAAAACTCAACGAAAAAGGAGGCAAATCTCTCGTGGACGATGTGGTGGAAGTGATGCCAAATCTGAAAAGTGCGGACCTTTCGGACTATTTTTGTCAAGCCGCTCTCTTGATCACAGATAGGAAAGCAACCGATGTGCTTAAGGAACTGGTAGGTGAGACCGATGGCCGTCCGATGGATGTTTTTCAGCATAAACGCATTCGCCTGTACTTAAAATATGCAAGTTGGGAGTTTGAGAAGTTGACGGTCGATTACTTTCATAAGTCTTTGCCCAAAAAGGCGATTCTCAATTATGATGGAAAAAAGGACTTTTATTTCTTAGACCTTGTGAAGCAGAGAATTAAGGAGATGCCGGAAGAAGGCTGGGCCGCGTAGGCCAGAGATTCAAGTGTCAGGGAAGTGTGCGATTATCGAGTTTATGTGTGATCGCACCAGTCTTCTGATATTTAGCTGTTGATTAAAGTCTTGGTTAGAATTAATGTAGCGGCATTTTGTGAATACGGTGTAGGATCGGTTAGAGCTAAACAGCTAGGAAAGGCGGTCAACTGTTTTTTTGCAAACATACTTTAATTGTACACGTGTTTTGTTATATGAGCTCAGATGTGTCCAATTTTGACATCAAGTCATAACATGGATACGATCGGATCAAGATAGCTATCGACAATTTTCTTGAAAACACGTTTGATAAGGCTGTCTTGTAAGATGAAGATTACCACGGTGACGAGGCAATAAAGTCACAAAGGTTGATAAGTGCACATTATGCGATGCCCAAAACAGGATAATGCACGTTGACAGAAAATTTGTACAATATTTGACTATAGTGCTGTTTAATAGTGGTATTGCATCTACCTCGAGCTGCTTCATCAGCAATCTTCAAAAAATAGCATGAAGGCAGAGATCATATACCGAAATCACGTCATGACGGTGCATCTATGTCTGCATAAACCACAAGCTCTAATTTGATAGTCGAGGTGCAGTATTTAACCTGACTGAGTCCCTTCCAAAACACACTTTATTTCTCCTCAGACATCAAAAACATCACATCTCGCTTACTTAATTTGACAACTGACGTCTGTATCCAGAGTGGTTTCCAATTTGGAGCCACGAATCCGACTACCTCGTGCCCAACCAAATAGAGGTCGCGAAATGATTCGGCACTGCATACGACATTTTCATGATACCAAACGCAATTTGATTTTTCAAAAAAAAAATTCTTTGTCGCTTGCGAAGCTGTCAATTTGTCATCTTCCATTCAGTAAAGGCTGGATCCAGATTCCACTTTTTCCGAACAACCTGCGCTTCGACCGTATTATGGTAATATGTCAACTTGATGGCAGGAATTGTGATGAGCTGTGGTGCGAATTGGTTCCTAAGGAAGTCGAGACGATGTTCTTTGATGGTGCCTCTTGAATGTTTTATACGACCGCCTCAATCAGTATACGAAAGTGTGGTCAGCAAATACGCTGGTTACTGCAAAATGATCAGATGCATTAACGAGACGTCTCAGCTTTGTGTGTATGTGTAGGCATTCTGCTTAACCTTCATCAAATGGTCCTGCATTATTTGGATCGTAGCAACTAATTTGTGTGCAATTTTCTATCTTGACGGGTTGTCGTTGCCGCGATGCTGGTAGTGGGGATCTCATACCATATCTAAAGTGGATCTCGCACCATACCACGATACCGTAAATGTCATGAGTTGGAGCTCTACGAAAATTTCAGTAGCATTTTCTAAGTCTTCGAATCAAAGGATCATCTCCTGAGTCCGAGCCGCATAGCCATTCTTCGCGGGTGGCGCTGTTTCCGGACCTGATCAAGTACGACAGGCACTAACTTGTCGGTGGTCTCTGGATAGTTCTGGACATTTTTTGCTCTCTCATCTTATAAAGGAATGACATTTAAAGCTTTAAAGTTGGACGGAACTGCGTCGTTGAGATGATAGGGCTTGAAGTGCCATATTTAGAATGTTAGATCTGTCCTCAGCCAACTTGGCAGGTCGATAGTGTAAGCATTATAATGACATGATACTACTCGATATGGGCCGACGAAGCGAGGTAATAGCTTCAAGCTTTCCAAGTTTGTAACCGCATCTTTCGATAGGTTTCCAGTTTTAAGTAGTACATAATCCCAAACGAAAAAATATATAATGCCTTGACAAAATCGTCTATCTGCGTATTCCTTTTGTAAATCTTGCACATTCGCTACTACAATAGTGATTACATTCACACAACTCATGATGAATGAGTCTAGGGCGTCCTTGTAATTGCACTTTAAATTTGCCATCTGGAATAAATCTGGGCATGGGTCCATGCGACCAAATCACCATTTGAAAAGCTCAACTATCGCTGCTGACATGTTGAAGATACGTGATATGAGCTTCTAATTTGCTCTTTTAAAGGCGTACGATAGGGTCTATTCCAGCAATGAAAGCGCTCGCGAAGTATGTGCGGTCATCCGTCAAATCCATGATGAGAGGGAGGAACGAGAAGAGGATGGAACGGACCCCCTAAGCGGAGTCTGTGTTTGGACCCGCGTCGAACGCGAGAGCGATATCGCAACAGTCGCGAGAACTTGATTACGAGGCTCCCACGTATTATCTTTAGCTGAATAACCCAGCCATTTTACCATGAGCTGCTTCCGACAGAGGACATTCCTCTCCGCCACCACGTTCTCGACATTGCAGCATCGATTTCTTTGGCGATCAAGAGGGCGCCCCCTCTTGTGACGGGTCACACGGCACCTTGCACAGAGGAAGCTTGACTTCCAAGAGTATACA